ACTGGGCCTCCAAGCCACATAAGTCCATGCCTATGTTTCTGAAACCCACAAAACGCAGGCCCGTATTATGTTGTTTTCTGAAAATCTAAGTGTAAAAACTCGAGCGAAAACTCCTAAATTCCCGAGAAATACACGCCACCAGGGCGTTGCACTCTCCAGGGTTTAGAGTTACCTTCTTATGGTAGCTTTTAAATACGTCCGGAACAAGAACCCAGTCTCTTCAGCCTGAGCAACGTTACGTGCGCTCTTAAGGATGCCTTCCGACCGGTTTATCTAGGCCTACAGTCTACAGCAAAACCATCACTGGCGAGTTTCAGGAAAAACGCAAACCCTAAACCTTAAGCACTAAACCCTAAACCCCAAACCGTAAACACTCAACCCCAAACCCTTAACCTTGAACTCAACCCTTAACCTTAAACACTAAACCCTAAACCCTAAACCTTGAACACTCAACCCTAAACCCCAAAACTTTACACCCCAACCAGATCGCTAGGGTCCTTTCTATAGAGGTCAAGCAGAAGTAGCTCCTAACTTCGAGAAGCCACCGCGTATCGGGACGCCTAGACTTTTCGAAGATGTGGGCCGAGCCGGATTGTGGGATGCTGTGATGGCGTTTGAGTTGGGGGTTTCCGAAAATAGGGGACCCTAATATAGTACCCTAAATAATAGGATCCCTATTATCAGGACCCCCAAATAAGGTACCCTAATTTTCTGAAACTCCCAGTTAAGTACTATAGGGGCCTTAATAATCAGAATAGGGTTTGGGGGGTTCCTTCTTTGTAGCTATAGCATGATAGTATGATATACCCCCAAAACCCTATTCGAATTATTAAGGCCCCTACTACCAGAATCAGGTTTAGGGTTTAGGGACCGTGAATTGAACTCCTTGATATCGGAGGTTTGGAGGCCATGGGTCTGAGAAAGCTCGGCATAATCATAAGGGTTTAGGGTTTAGGGTTTAGGGTTTAGGGTTTAGGGTTTAGGGTTTAGGGGTTAGGGTTTAGGGGTCAGGGTTTAGGGTTTAGGGTTTAGGGCATAATCATAAGGGCTTGAAGTCTTAGATCGTTCCAGGCTTCACACAGGGTTCGGGCTCAGAGCGAATCTGTGCGTACACTGCGTACACCTACACCCTAAACCCTGCACCCTACACTCTAAACCCTAAACCCTAAACCCCAACAGCCTAAACCCGAAAGCCTGCACCCCACACTCTAAACCCTAAACCCTAAAACCCAGACCTAAACGCCTACACTCTAAATCCTAAACCCTAAACCCCAAGCCCAAAGCTCCCAGCCCTGAACCCTAAACCCTAAACCCTAAACCCTAAACCCTAAACCCTAAACCCTAAACCCTAAGACCCTGAACCCTAAACCCGAAGACCCTAAACCCTACTCTCTACCTGAACCCTATTCGGACTGGCTTTTGGTTTTTTGGGGTCCAGGGCCTCAGGTCACTTTCTGTTCCCTTGAGCCCCAGAGCAGCACCGGGATGCAGGGTATCAGGCTTTGGGTTTACCGTAACGGTTTAGGGTTTATGGTTTAGGGTTTAAGGTTTAGGGTATAGGGTTTAGGGTTTACACCTACTTTTGTAATAGAGCCCCTATAAAATCTGTATCAGGCTTCATAAGGAAAACCCCCTGCACCCTAAACACTAAACCAGACACCCAAAGCCCTAAGCCTACCGGAAAAAAAAGCTCGCGTCGCTTCAGGTAATGTAGGGGCCTTAATTGTTAGAATAGGGTTCTGGGCCCCTTTATAGTATATATATATATATATATATATAATAAGGAACCCTAACAG